GGAGTGTGACACAGATGAAGGAAAATCATGTCACTGTGGTGATGGATTTGATATGCACAGAATTTGGCGTTTGGCAAGTGAAGGAAACATAAACTAACTTTTGTTGGGTAATTAATGTTAAAATTAAAGGTACTGTATTAATCTGATTACTGTAATAATCTCACTGCAGACATCTCATTTGGGATGTGGAAAGTGAAAATGCTGTATCAAATCTCTGCTTGTATTCTGGTCCCTGTTCAAAATCGCAATCACATCACTAGAGATAAACTATGTAGACTGACTGCTCTCTGGTGGTGAGTAGGAGAAATTGCATTTTCATATTTTGTAAAAATAATGCGTGGGTGTCAAGTTAAGTATAACAATGTGTTGTGGCCTCTTTGCACCTGTACAGATGATGAATCATACTTTATCCTGGCCTTATACTGACAAGAAATTAGCATGCATGTTTGGAAAATGCTGCCAAGTGTGACGAAAGAGCTGTTCTAGTGCCCTAGTTTATCCACCACACACACGGGGTCAAAATTTGAACAGCTCACCTGTTTGTTTGGTCAATATAATGTGAACTTTGTGTGTATATACCAAACTTCAGGTTAAATCATAATCAAAAAGTACCCTGAAAAGATTCAGCTGTCTTTTGTTAAGCGGCATGGAGTGGGTTGGAAAATAACTAGGGCTTTTTTTTTTATTTTTTTAAAGCCACCAAAGTGACAAAGCCACAAAAGTTGTATATATTATGGCTCTGAAAATTAATACAATGTGCATTAAAAGAAACTTTAATTTCTGACACTGGCATAGATCAGTCATGGGAAACCCCTTTTACCGGTTATTCAGCATATTCATGAATGGGGGGAAAAATAGAAAATATATCCTAAAAATATCTGAATAATGAGAATGGTGATGAGAGGAGAGTACTGATGGATGGAGCTTCATTAAGTAGTTCTCCATGTGGTTGGGGCGCAGTGGTGTGTGGCTCTGACCTAGCTATTTTTAGCTCTGTGGGACAAAAATGGCTCAAAATATTCATCATCTAAATCTGTCCTCCTAACGGCACTTGCAAAATAAAGAAATAAAAAATTAGCAAGGGGAATATATGGGGGTAAATGTGGTAATCATTCAGTTTCAGTGATTGCTATGGTAATACTATCACTGTACCATGCTACACATTGTTTATAAATAAACTAAATCATGTTTTAATACTCTTTTTAAAATATCTAATTAGCTAAATTTAGGAACGACGCAAATCTATGAGAGCTTTTCACAAGTGTTGTGAACGAATCGGTTGTGTCTAATGAATCTTTTAGGCGAGCGAATCGTTCTCGGCTCTTTTTCGTTCACTGAGGTGCATGACTGTTTTTCTGATTGACTATAGCAAGAGCCAATAGCATTTGAGTGCGGGCTGTAAGAGAGCATCTCATTGGTTGGATCAACTAAACGAATACGCCTCCTTCATTTTGTGAAGGAGACTTCAGAGACACCAAAGGAAACATCTCGTTCTTAAACGAACACAATTGTCACATTTTATGAATTATATAGTGTTTATATTATCATGTATATCATAATTTACTCGAATGAACTAGACTCCTATTCTAGAAGAGAAATGAGATGAAGAATTATGAATGGGTACAAATGACACATCTTCAATGACATAAGAACTTATTGAAACTGTATTTATGTAGTTTCATATCGTTGTTTTAGCTCGATAAAACTCGGCAGCGCACAAAAGGAGGAAAGTAGTATGAAGGTAAAATGACGTCAAAAAGATTTGCATACGCAGGATAAGAGTTGTGGAAGTGTACATAAGACTGTAAGCGTAAATTAAATTTGCATGCGCAAGAGAAGCTTTGTAAAGGTGTAAATCGCGTTTCAAGCGCAAGAAAAAATTATTTGCAGCATTTTACTGTTACTCATAAGTGTAATTCATGTATTGTGAAACTGCAGCTTCATGCTAACGCAAAATAAATATGATCTGCATGCTTCTGACTTCCATTTTTCCGCGCTTACACTTTTGGCACGTTTTTTTCGCCAAAAGACGGTCAAAAGCACTGCAAGCCTGTGAACAGTGATTTGCAAGCGAAAACAACAGTTTAAAGAACTGCAAAACAGATTGACTGCAATCACAGGGGAAGTTCACAGGGGAAGTCGTGGCCTAATGCTTAGAGAGTCGGACTCGTAACCCAAAGATATTTCCTGAACAACTGTTTGTTTGAACGAATCAGTAGAGAGAATGATTCAGTCACTCACTTTTTTGCCACCTACTGGTGTAACGATAACCTGCAGAAACGGCCTCTGAATGAATCTTGTTAGTGAATGAATTAAAAAGACTCGACTCACTGATGAATCAAAAGAGCGACATTATCCGTGTGTAAATATCTCTTTAAGAATGAAGCTGAAATTGGATCCTCTCGTTCCCTCACCTCCACGTAACGTACAGCCATCATCAACACACATCGGTTCACATCATCATCCTCAACATGTTCTCACCGTCGCGCGCGTATAAAACACACACGCATCGCAGGTTGAGATTATTATAAGGACCACCCGTTTCTCCGTTTGATATGAAATCATGTATTTCATATCGCCGTGGAGAGAGGAGAATCCTGCATGTGTCTGATTGACGAAAAACACGGATTTTTATCAGCCCATGTTTTCAGACACCATGCACAACTAACCAACAGACACCATTGATGATCGATAAGAGGTAAGCAGATGGTTAATGCATGTATTGCGTGATATCAAGCAATATTTGAATGCACACGCGTTGTGTTTTCAGCCAGCACTGCGGTGTGATTTGGCCTAAAGAAAGCAGCAGGCTTGTTGGTAACAACACGAGTCGATTTCCGTCCATCGCAATGTTTTTATAGAGCTTTAGTAGAGATGTGATTCAGTATTTAGCTGTGTTATTAGACGGTCAGTGCTGAATTACGGTCTTTGATGTATTTTTGGCACGCGCACAAATCTTCATAAAATGCTCATCTAATCACAAATGTACATATATATGTGCATATGTTTCACAAGCAATGCGGTTCAATGCAGCACACCAGTCGATGATGATTAAATGACCAACTTTATTGACAAATGAAGGCTAAAAAGACATTTAAAAGCCAAAATCTGAATTTAATATTTAATTATGCACTTAAAGATGTGTTTGAGCCGAACTGAAGATGCATGGCAGTATTGAAGGGAAACATTTGTTCAGGTTTGCGACTAGAACACCATTAATTTTCTCTGTATTTAATGGAAATGCTAAATGCAGCACAGATGTTTTGGATGTATTTGACATTTTTCATCAAAAAATGTGTTTCTGACTTCTGAAAAGTACTTTCTTCTGAGGTCTTTTATTCTGCTCTTCCTTATTTTGTTTTACTTTCATTTTTGAGAGCTGTAATGTGTGTACAGTATTCAAATACCAAATGAACATGTGCCATGTTCTTAGAAATGTATTATTTGTAATATTTGTTTTGTTTTGTAAAACGTTGATGCTATTTAAAATAATAATAATAATAATAATAATAATAATAATAAAAAAGGGTTGATTTTGGCTCTTAAATGTGGTACAGGTGGTACAAATCAAGCAATGCTAAAAATTGTTTTATTAACAAAAACAAAGACAAACATTTGCATATTTGTAAAAATGTGTTTTTAATTAGTTATGATTATCATGTTTAAAAATTATCTTGTGAAACTGTAATAAACAAAAATAATTATAGCAATTAAGGATTCTTCTTGCTAAACTGGAATATCCACCTTTTCTACATTGGGATCATCTGAAAATTGTCAACCTGACTTTTTGACTTTGTCACATAAAAATATATAATTTTTTATTTCCAATAATAATAATAAAATATTTATTTCCAAAAGTTGAAAACATGTTTATCATAGAAGTTGTGTATTCAAGTCATTCCATGTATAAATTTCCTTTCTAATGTATTTTTGTATGAACAGATTGCACTCCATTGATCCATATAAATGTACCTTAGCATTGACACCAGATACCATCATGATACCATGGTACCTGCCACAAAGTATATATATTTTTATAGTATATTTAAGTATATTTAATTCAATAACTTTTTAATATTAAGGCATGGAAACCACAATTAAAAAATGTAAAATTGTGGTTTCCAGGCCTTAATTTTAAAAAGTAATCTAATTAAATTTATGTTTCTGTATATTTATGTGTGTGTGTGTGTGTGTGTGTACTTTGTAGATTGTGGCTGGCTGCTTTTGCACTGCAGTTTTCTCAGGGGTTTAATAACGCATCCATTTAGCAGCCCATTCATTCTGCTGCTCTATGAGCCTTGCTTTGCCTGGTCAATCTTTCATTCAAGGCAGCACTGCTTCTCTTGAAATATGATGCATTTACTCAATGCATCAAAGCATGCCAGCAATGCAGCTTTGTCAATGCTGTGATCTGCCACCCACATGACAAACCTGTACACCAGTATGGAAAGCATGTTAATCTACCCAATCAGACATTTCTGCAACTGAAAGTTTTTACAGTTGGCTTTTTGTTTCTTAAACTGCATGTTCACAATTGAGATGCATGCATATGCAGCACGTGTTCACACGTGTTCATCTGTGAAAACTGCTGAACTTCCTGTTACCATACATTGCTTCATGACCTCTTTGGATGCCTGCCCTTCACAACAAGTGTGAACCTGTATTAGGCCTTTAAATACACTCACCCTCACCCCTCCTCTATGTGTGCATGTTGCCTATAAAGTACATCTAAATTTAGTGACCGCATGTTTTTTGACTCCTGTCGCCCCATGAAGAGATGTGCTGATGTCACAGTCTGTTAGTTTAGTTGTTTGACCATGTTCTGAAATAATGCTGACTACAACTCAGTTGTTTATAACCTCCTTAATGCTTTTTATTCATTTAACAGATAAGTTTGTAGATTTTCAACCAGCTTTGTTACAGTGTGTATTTCTCCGTGTTAACTGTATTGGTTGACCGATATGGATTTTGTGATGGCTGATATAAAGCTGATATTTATGATATCACACTGTTTAATTGAAATAACATGCATACCAATTGCTGCAATGACATTTTACATATTTAATACATTGAATAAAAAGGAAGTAAAAAACACTAACTAACAGTAAACTCAGTAATCTAGTAAGTTTTTGCGCACTGGGAATCATTTTCTTAAAGATCAGGTAATGCTAATTTTACATACTGAACATATTGACATATGACTTGGAAACAAACTGGATATAAAACAGCATAGTTTGAAATCAAGGATTTAAAGATTACACTCACATCTGCGTTCACATGCTGGCTTTCTTAGCGCTGTCAAAATAAAAGTCCGGTCACTGTCAAAATAAAAGCTACTTCTGATAGTTATTGTACAAAACTTCTCAAGCGATGTTGATAATTTAAAAATGACAAATATCGGCATATCGGTCTACCTCTAGTTACCTGCACCATGATTCCGGTTTATTTGTCAGCAAAAATCCACTGGATAATGCAAAATGCACAATTTTGCATCATCTGGAAATCTTTGGACAGCTTCAGGGCTTTTCTTTCTGTTTTGTCTAGTCATGTCGCAGGAATTAAAAAATAATTTTGTGTTTCTAGTGCATAGACAGGCAAGTTTTATTAAAAGCCTATCTTGCCAGCACTGAACTCCCTCTTTAATTGTTCCAACTAACCCAAAGTAGACACATTGACTGAACCAGAGGCATTAGTTTGCGGTGGAACTACCTTTTTGTCCAATCAGTGAAAGACTAGTGTAGGGAGTCTATGTTTTGTTACCGCTAGTGGTGCAGAAATGGCACCCTTCACCCTTTGGGTGTTGGAATATACTTATTTAGGGAGGTGGTATTGGAAACTGTTTGTTGTAGCAATAATGAGCAAGTCAAGGCATGTTAGGATAGGAAAGAATGACTAATTTCCTGTGTGAAACTTGTTTAATCTATCTCTGCTGATATGCAGATCTCCGACTGTTGGCTTGCCGTTGGAAGTCTGCAGTTGTTGTGACACGTAGAAACAGTAGAGACTCTGTATGCTGCAGATGACGGTTTAACGGCTACATCTGTCGTTGCAATGTTGAGTGGACATTTATCTTTTTTTAATTTCGGTTTCTGTTTCTCTGCTAAAAGTTTATATTGGGAACGGAGTACTCTTCAGTGTAGATGACCTTAAAGCTAGTATGCAGACTAAAAGCCACAAAACTCCAATTTCATGGTTTTCAAAACCGCATCGGTCTCTTCTCACTACACTCTCAGTGCAATGGGTGCATGTTTTGTATTTTTCTCTCGTCCTTTGAACACTTAGAGCCTCAGGTAAGAGTGCGATTCATGTTTTCCATTAGCTGTTATGGGCCAGAGGTCATGAAAGTAGATCAACAGGAGATGTTATGAGCAATTAGATGCCCTGTGGAAGATGTAAAATGATGCTTCCTCCTTGAGTTGTCTGGATTTTCCTGGTGTAGAGGACATATTTGTGAATTATATGTACTGATAAGTACAGTATATTTCACAGTATTGTTTTTTTAATGGTGTGTGTCTGTGTGTATATATGTGCATATGCATGTATGTAAAGTGTAATATATTTCTGTGATGCAAAGCTTAATTTTCAGCATCATTACTCCAGTCTTCAGGGTCGCATGACCCTTCAGAAATGATTCTAATATGCTGATTTGGTGCTCAAGAAACATTTAGTATTATCGTCAAGATGTCAACATTGAAAACAGTTGTGCTGCACAATATTTTTTTGAGGAAACTGTGATACACTACTATTTAAAAGTTTGGATTAAGCAAGATTATAAATAAATAAAATAAATATAATACTTTTATTCATCGAGGATGCATTAAATTGATCAAAAGTGACAGTAAAGACAGTAAAAATGTAAAAAAAAAAAAACAAACATATATATATATATATATATAGAATGGGATCTATGTCTTTTGCTCTTTGTGATTATTCACTCCTGCTAGACCCAGTTGAAATGCTATGATTATTTTGGCCCAAGCTTTATCATTATGGATTACTGCTTCCTAACTATGTGCTTCAAAGGGGACAGACTTGTTTTTCTGGTGCACAGTGACAGCAACAGACTGCAAGAGGAACTGTATGAGGAGAAGGCTGACATTTAGATCCAAGCTCAATATGATCTGTACATACAGTACTATTATCAAGTATTGCATATCGTGTCGTTTATGACAACAGAAGCCTGCTAGAACAGTTGTGCAACCTGCATGTGTAACATATCTGAGATTTTGGACAGTGTTTTGGAATGGTCAACAAATTCTTGTATCATGCCTGGCAGCATTAATATCAACCAATGATGCTTTAAATAAAGCCAGAGAGGACTGATATTGTGACCGTTCCCATAGCCTGTATTAGTTTTATGAGCTTCAGATAGAGACGTGGGATTTGCGTCACCTCTTTTGTTTCTCATTGCTAACACAGTAATGGCAGAGGGCATGTCTGTTAAACATTTACCTTACTTTTCTACTGAAACTGTGCTTTCCGTTTCACAGCTTTCCGTTGTGATTTCAGGACCTAGATGTTCATGTCTTACTGTAAAGCGTCTTCAAGTGTTTTTTTCTGTTGCTCTTTCTCTTGCAGTGGGGTCGGGTGGCCATGGACCCCTTCAGCCAGCTGATCCTGCTCATCTCGGTGGTGAGTTTTTGCACCTTCCAGTGGCTCTTTCACAGCGTGAGCCCATGGGCGTCATCCAGAATCAGCCCTGGCTTCCTCAAACTCACCCACAAACAGAAGATCGAGTGGAACTCAAGGTACAGAAACATGTTTTGTGTCGTCTGTTTGGGCGCTGGGACTAGTTCTGCATTTCTCTTTGGATGTATTACCTTCTCATGTTCAGTGTTTCTTAAGTACAAAGGAGTAATTGTAAGCTGTATGCGTTTGATTGAACGAGTCATTTGTTTAGGAATTGGATTACACCGATTCATTAAAAGATCTGACTCAATTCATTTGATAATCACATAGACATAACTAGTTGCACTGTATGTGTTTGATTTGCTAAAAAGATCCGGCTCAAAAGACTAATTTGTTCAGGAATCATTTGGAAAACTGGTTGCACTGTATGGTTTTGATTCACTAAAAAGAACTGGCTCATAAAGAGTAATTTGTTTAGGAATTGGACTACACCGGTTGCACTGTGTGATTCTGATTCATTAAAAATAACTCACTCAAAAGACTAATTCATTTGGAAATCATTTAGACAACTGGTTGCACTGTTTCTATTTGATTTACTAAAAAGATCCAGCTCAAAATAATAATTTGTTCAGGAATCATTTGGAAAACTGGTTGCACTGTATGGTTTTGATACACTAAAAAGAACTGGCTCCAAGAGTCATTTGTTTAGGAATCGGACTACACCGGTTGCACTGTGTGGTTCTGATTTATTAAAAAGAACTTACTCAAAAGACTAATTCATTTGGGAATCATTTAGACAACTGGTTGCACCGTTTCTATTTGATTTACTAAAAAGATCGGCTCAAAAGAATCATTTGGAAAACTGGTTGCACTGTATGGTTTTGATTCACTAAAAAGAACTGGTTCAAAGAGTCATTTGCTTAGGAATCGTACTACACCGGTTGCACTGTGTGGTTCTGATTCATTAAAAGAACTCACTCAAAAGACTAATTCATTTTGGAATCATTTAGACAACTGGTTGCACTGTTTCTATTTGATTTACTAAAAAGATCTGCTCAAAAGAATCATTTGGAAAACTGGTTGCACTGTATGGTTTTGATTCACTAAAAAGAACTGGTTCAAAGAGTCATTTGCTTAGGAATCGTACTACACCGGTTGCACTGTGTGGTTCTGATTCATTAAAAGAACTCACTCAAAAGACTAATTCATTTTGGAATCATTTAGACAACTGGTTGCACTGTTTCTATTTGATTTACTAAAAAGATCCAGCTCAAAATAATAATTTGTTCAGGAATCATTTGGAAAACTGGTTGCACTGTATGGTTTTGATTCACTAAAAAGAACTGGTTCAAAGAGTCATTTGCTTAGGAATCGTACTACACCGGTTGCACTGTGTGGTTCTGATTCATTAAAAGAACTCACTCAAAAGACTAATTCATTTTGGAATCATTTAGACAACTGGTTGCACTGTTTCTATTTGATTTACTAAAAAGATCGGCTCAAAAGAATCATTTGGAAAACTGGTTGCACTGTATGGTTTTGATTCACTAAAAAGAACTGGTTCAGAAGAGTCATTTGTGTGGGAATCGGACTACACTGTTCGTCCTGAATGTTGAGTCACCAAAAAGAACTGTCTAATAAAAGTATTGCTGTGCTGTTGTTATTAGCTATATTAGCTATATAGTAATTTACACTTTATTGATTCAATTTGCTGTTCGACAAACAATGGTTTAATATTTTATTACATTATTAAGCCTACATTTAATAGGCAACTTTTACATTTATTTACCTTATGATCCACATTTTTGCTGTACAAGTTGCACATAAGAATCAGTCACTGAACAAATAATAGTTGTTAAATACTAATCTGAATAGCCTACTGCAAATACTACACATTTCACTGTTTTGAGAATGACCCTCTGCTTAATTAAAATATTATATAGCCTATTTAAAAAATAATTGTAAATATAATTTTCTACAAACATGTATCATATTACTGAATGTTTCTGCATATATAAATTAAATGAATAGGCCTATATGTGAAATGTATGGAAGCCCGTTTCCGCCACTGAATAAAAAATAAAAAAAGATTATTGTGACTTTTTATCTTACAATTCTGACTTTTTTTCACAGAGTTGTGAGAAACTCGCAATTGCGAGTTATAAAGTCAGAATTGCGAGATATAAAGTCACAATTGCAAGATTAAAACTCGCAATTCTGACTTTTTTTCTCGCAATTGCGAGTTTATATCTCGCAATTCTGACTTTATAACACGCAATTACAAATTATAAAGTCAGTATAAACTCGCAAGTTAAACTCGAGACTGTCGTGTTCTCAGAATTGCGAGTTTATATCTCACAATTCTGACTTTATACCTTAAAAAGTCATAATTGTGAGAAATAAACTCGCAATTGCGAGATAAAAAGTCATAATTGTGAGATATAAACTAGCAATTGCGAGAAAAAAAAAAAGTCAGAATTGTGACTTTATATCTCGCAATCAGGCCCGGATTGGCTAATCGGGAGCACCGGGAAAATTCCCGGTGGGCCGGTCTATTTTTTGGCCGCGAGGGCCGGTACGGTCATGCCACTGCTATGGGGTTGAAATAAGGCATCAAAGAAGCATCCCGTATGAAAGCTATAACACAGTTTGTCCCGTATTCGCAGGCATACGCCATATGACCACTACACCATATGAATAACAAATTCTCAATTGATAATTAATCATTATTTTTGCGCAAAATATTGTGTTATTTGTGAACGTAGCCGTTTGATGAAGGCTTTAAGACCAAGCTGAATCCTCTGCCGGCTGCTCCTGTTTCACAACGAGCAGGACTCACTCTTACGTCCGAGATTTGATTTAGGCAAATCAGTTTGGGCGAATGCAATTTATTGATCATGAGCCCAAAATG